ATCAGAGACCACTGGTCCACCAAAGACCAGAGGTCCATCAGAGACCAGAGGTCCATCAGAGACCAGGGGACCACTGGTCCAGAGGAGACTGGGGGACCACCAGAGACCAGAGGTCCAGTTTTATTTGTTTAAAGTATAAAGAATAAAGCAGATTTGATTTGACTACAGGTGGACGTGAGAACWGCTCAAGACCTGTCTTCAGACCTCCTCTGGTCTGATCCTGATCCATCAGTCCTTTCAAACTAACTTGATCTTGAAGAAAAATCAGAACCAGGTCTGGATCCTGATCCACATATTTCTGCAGGGAAAAAAAACAAGAAAAAGTTTTTCAGGTTCCTGGACCGAGCAGAGGTTCTGAGGTGACCCCTGGACCCTCGGGTCACCCAGCAGGTCCTGATGGGACCCTGCAGACCATGATCAGGAGAGCTGCAGGAAGGAGAAGAGCAGGGGGACCAGGAAGAGCACGTTGAAGCCCACCGTCCCGTACACGATGTACCGGTAGGGSAGCTCCACCTCCATGTGCTGCCGGGCCCTCCTCACGTCTGAAGACGGGACCCCCAACACCCGGCACACCACAGGGATGGTCAGGGCCTTCATCAGCCCCCTGGAGCCCACCAGGACCAGCACTCCCAGGACCAGGCGCAGCACAGCCAGGCCCACCGTGCCAGCGCTGAGGACGGGCAGGGCCAGGGGCAGCTGGTCAGGTCCGGGGTCCGGCAACAGGCCCAGGCGGTAGTTGACGTGGGAGGCCAGGGCCACGCCGGCACCGGTGCCCAGGATCTGAGCCGTGTCGCCCCGGGACGTACTCCAGGTGTCCAGGGTGAAGGAGAAGAGGCCCAGGCCCAGGTGGAGGGAGATGATGAGCAGAGGAGCGTAACTGCAGGTCCGGTTGAAGCCYTCGATCAGGTCCAGGACCGGCAGAAACAAGACCAGGATCAGGATGCTGTACAGGAAGCCAGCGATCACATCCTGCAGGAAACAAACAAACAAACAAACAAAGAGTTTCAAATCCACCAAACAGGAAGACCTGCAGCTTCTACACCTGGGCCTCACACATAAAGGATTGTGCAGCTTTCACACTAAAAGTTGACGAACGGACAAAGTTAGAACGGTTCTCCACACAAAAACATTCAGATGTATAAAAGTGTGCTCACACAGGTTCCTGTAGTGTACACCTTTCCTTCATACATCCCAACAAACATGGAACTTCCTGCAGACTTTAAAACCTCAACAACTTCTGCTAGACTTTCCTAACAGAACACAACCTGCAGCTAACCTCTGCAACAGGAAGTGGACCTGCTAAGGTCCAGAACCATTAATGATCTGAGATCAGAACAGAACCTGCAGATCTGGAACCATACTTTACTGCAGCAGACAAAAGACTAAACTTTCTCTCATTTTCTCCTCAAAGACACATGTGGACATGTCACCTGTCCTGATGAGAGGTAGGACACATGTGGACATGTCACCTGTCCTGATGGGAGGTAGGACACATGTGGACATGTCACCTGTCCTGATGGGAGGTAGGACACATGTGGACATGTCACCTGTCCTGATGG